CGACTATGTTCTGTGTCATTCGGCTCATACTGCTGTGGAGGATAGACCGGTAACCGTCGGGATAGAGATGAATGCATTCCGTGCGAAGAGATAGTCTCCGGTGTCCTGCGTCATCTGGTGGTTGCTGTTGCTGTTGCTGTTGGGCTCAGACTTGCGCGCGGTGGGTGGTGCTCGGATGGTGAATCCACCTTCGGGGTCCACGGGGAGCCAGTTGGCTGTGAAACGGGTACTTCCATCCGGCATTTCCAGCGGGGTAAGCCCATTTTCGTCCAAGTCCATGGTGAAGCTAATTTCCCTGGACTGGCTTTTGCTATTTCCTTCTGCGTTGCTGAGAGTGGGCAGTGGGTCGCCAAACGAAGGTTGAACCAGTCCATCGTCGAGCGCGTGATGCAGTGAGACCGAGTCGGGGAAGCCAATATCGGGTAGTCCATAGAATTGTACCGGCTCGCCTTGATTGTATTCCCGGTCCCATTCCCCCTCACTGCCACTGTATGACTGTTGGCTCATTCCCGGTGAGCTGCAGGGGTCATCGAGAACGGGCGACTGGACGAATTGTAATCGCGAGCTGGGGCTGTCCTGTGATGCTCGCGGAGAAGGTGTACTTGCGGGAATATTCATGTAAAGTGCGCGTTCAGTAGCTAATTGGGATGCCGAACGGAGCAAATCGTCTAGAGAAAAATCGGTGGTGGTGGGCTTGGTATCGGGGGCGGTGTTGAACGAGGATTCTCCGAATCTAATGCAGCAGCCATTGTCAGCTGGAAGGTCCTGGAATCCTTTGATCATGCCATGGCCATGGCGCACACTGGAGGACGCACATTGAAGATATTTTGTCCGCCAATTGAGGTACATTCAAAGCATTAGCAACACCCATCGGCTGCGAGGGATGGTAAAGGCCCGAGCCTGTCTCGCCTGTCGCGAAGTCGAATTCTGCGCAAAGCTCCGGGCTCAGAAATTGTGACGATGACAGATCAAATCCGTTGAGACTCAGATGGCTTCCGTATAACTCCTCATCCGTGAAGTTAGACTCCAGGCCGAGCATCTGAGTGTCGGATGGGCCCATGGAAGTCCATTTCTCGAATTCTTGAGGATGGCTCGTATGCAGCATTGTGGCGAGGTCTTGCGTGGTGATTCAGCTAGTCGAGCGATGGAGATTGTAATGTTATACTGATTTGATCAGATCGTAGAAAGCACTACAGCATAACATTCAATGACGAGGATTGCTGCCTCTGGAGACTTTGTACGGTTGATTGAACTATGGCATGTGCAACGAAGGCCTCGTCGAGAAGCCGCGCACGACGGCGATTGATGCTTATAAGACATACTCCGCAGGTCAATGCAGCAGAGGGGCGTGCTAAATGAATCTTGAAATTGGGTTCGTCATTGTCACTGTTGCTTGAGGAAGTGGGCGACCACGGGCCGCAATGGGGTCGGTAAAATACAAACTAGAGCAATCGGACATTGGTGGAGCTTGGATACATTAGAATACTCGAGGGGAAGCTCAGTGATTTGACGGACCAGGAACCATCTGATCTTCACGGGGCCATGTGGTGTCGCTGAACCTTGCATACCCCATATTCTGGTGTGGCAATTAACCGAGCACCCTCCCCGGCCTGCCGAACTACGGGAATTAAAGGCTGTTAAAGCTGAGCGCCTGTTGGTTCGATTCCCAATGCAATGGCTTTTCTCCCCGCAACGGCTTCGGTTTTTTGGAGTTTAACCGAAAGGCCCAGGTTCGGACCGAGCGAGCACGGCCCGTTCGTTAAATCTGGGGTAAGGGGAAGGGGCCTCCCAACAACCCCGGTCCTTGCAGCCAGTGCAGAATCATGCGATGCCCGACATTAGCGACGGGTTTATGCCTGGAAGCGATGTTTGCTATGTTAAGAGGAAGAGGGCATGGCGCTCGGGAGGTGGTGTCCAGAAAAAGAAAAATCGTTTGGTAGATTTAAAACCCGCGAGCCAGAACAAACAAGCCAGAGACACCAAAATCAGCATAAATGCTCGTATATGTACAGGGTAACAATCAAAGAGCAGTATCCAAGAATTAACAAATACTACGAGGTACTTTGGGCTAATAGCAGCAGCCGTTGCGATCAAATGCCAATGCCGGGGTAAGGACCGGCAGATGCAGGCACGGGGCAATGAGCCATAGAGGCAAGCTGGAGCGAGCCCGATTCAGGCAAGATAATCAACCGAGAGGGAGGGGATACTGTGCCTGCATATGCCAGTCTCTGCGACTGGCCTAGAACCAAGCATGCCCTGGCGGGAGATGATTTAAGCTCTCTCCAGCCGATGGCCTGCGGATGCGGAGCCGATGCAACCGTGCGCTGAAATGGGCATCGGCGCTGTGAGAAACTCTAAATCTAAAGAGCCAACCCAGTGCCCTTCCGGGTCCACCGGTAGAGTGCTAAGACGGCCTTGCGACGATGCCGAATCTCGCTGTGATTGACAGGGCGCCCACGCGCCTGCGCAACGGCGCTCCGCATGACCTGTCGAAAGTTTCGTTGGTATTCAGTGTTCAACGTTACCACACAGGACTCGGTCGCTCGGATCATCACCTCGCACGCATTTAGAATACCCTCCCCCGCTTCTTTCTGCAGCCGCTCCACAATCAACAAGAGAAGAAAGCTGCCTTGAAGTAGTTGAATGCCGAAGAAATACGGCATAAAACTGATATCGGGGTCGTAACGTAGGATATGGTCTACCGAGTCTGCCGCATCAAGGGCGTGGGAGATGGTCGAGGCGAACGCGGGCGATGAAGTCCAGAAGTCCTTATCTTCGATCAACGACACAGGATCCCATTTCCCGACAAGAAGAATATGTAACACATGCACGAGATAAGATGCATACGAGATGACCGTTTGAGTATGCCATGAATAAGCCTGGGCGAGTGAGGGTTCGACTGGTTGTTGATCGGGTTTAGGGGGAAAGGCGCTGGATAAGGGCGCATCGGGATCCGACGCAGTGGCAGCAAACGTTGTGAGACTAGCCTTATAAAGCTCAAGCTGGCGCAGCACTTCACCGACGTGCGCATCCCAGGCGTCCTTCCCATTCAAGCGTGCTCCAAGCATCGGATGGTTACGAGCTTGGTTTAAGTCGATTAATTCGCCAGTAATGGTCATGAGAGGCAGGAAGAAGCCGAAGATAGAGTGGTCATGGCAAATAAAATTAGGGAAAACGCGGCGTTTGTTCTTCTCGCCTGAGAGCGGGCACTGTGGTCCATCCGGTTTGGGACTATTGCTGTGGATGTTCCCAGACTGCCATGACCCTTCGTCCAGCGGCAATAAAAGATCCTCGCTTTCAGCATCGAGTAGAGCAAGGGGACGATTGTAGCAGAGAGCGAGGTGACGGTCCATGATGTAGAGAAGCCACCATGTCCGACGACGCTCTTCACGGTGCTCTTCGGTAATAGCGCCACGCAGTTCGTGGCCACGGTCGCATACGCAATTCAAGCTTGGCCGAGCAGGGTTTGAATAATCGAAAAAGGGGCCCGTGTCAACGCCACTCCATCCCGCAAGTGAATAATCAAATGACGGGCTCGAGCCCTCTGGGTGATTCTCCTCACTAGGCATCACCTCGATCTCTTGATTGAGCTTCAGTTCCCGTGCAAGAGTAAAAGCGGCATGCCACCTAAGATTGGTTAGCTTCCTTGCTCGCTTCAGGTTACTTGAATAAAACGAACCATCGCATGCTAGCGGCCTTTTGTTCGCTTGAAGAGATAATGGATGCCACATGGATGTATGTGATGACATCGTCCAATGATCCTGCAGGGCCGACCAGCCCCCGATCATCACCGCCAGCTTCAAATGGATGGTGAACCGTTGTAGGGGGACCGTCCTGACCGATCGCAGCATGAAGTGGGTCGCTCGCCGCGGCGCCCTCTTGCTCTTTGAATGACACGTGAACCAACGGTCGCAAGAGCCGTAACGTTAGAGCACATAAAAATTGACATATCTTCTTCCTCTGGGGAGGAGATATCGGCAAAGCAAACGCACGGTCATCTAACGCTGCCACCCAAAGCATGCTGGCCAGAAGTGCAGGGCTGCTAGGCCGAGGGGCTTCCCGACTCAGAAATGACGCCTTTCGTAGAACATAGCAGTGAATGTGATGACACACGGGATGCATATGCGTGGAGAATGCGCTTGTGAAGTACAGGTCGAGAAGGTCGTATACTAGCTTTCGAGGCAAGCTCGACTCCAAATATGGCATTACTGGCTGGAGTACTGGATATTTTAGGATTGTTGCAGACGGTGCTGGTGTCTGTCCAAGGCCGGTTATCTTAGAACCCTGAGATGCTGGATCACTGTAACCGGCCAGGTCAACCCCATTCCAGATATCAAAGATTCGAGGAAAAGGGCCTTCCCCAGGGCCGATGCCAGCCAAGGGCTCATAGGAACCTGGAGAGACATGCGTGCCTGCTAGCCACTCCTCTGTCGCATTAACTGTATGCCCTGACTTCCTTGGAGGAAGTGATACATCCGCCTGAGAGCGCCGCTCGTCAATACTTGGGGCTGACACTGTCACATCATTTGTCGCTGGTGATCTATGGCGAAAAGTTGTAGAGGGAGAGCCATTTGGAACCGGACCAGATCCTGCTTCCGCAGGTGCCGGTGCTGAGGCTTGGGACTCCACAGGTTTGGTCGGCTTTTCAGTGGCAGCATTGGGCTCTACCAGTCGGGATCGCGCAATGCGTCCTCGCTTGCGTCGTTCGCGGGTGAACTCGCATCGGATTTCACTGCGAAGGCAGCGCGAGCAGGGAAAGGCTCGATCGCACCGCACGCGACGCGAATGGCAGGAGTCGCAAGCTATCCGATTCCTTCTCCAACGACGTTTTGTTGAGGCTCCGCCGGTTGGTTCTTCGGTGGCTGCTGGAACGCTGGATGCCTGGGCGTCCCCCGACTGGGCAGAATCCATTTCAGGCCGACATTGGCGATTCCAGAGGTATATGAGGGTATGCTAAAGAATCGCAGTCTGGAAAAATGGGTTTGAGAAGTCAGCAACCGGCCAAGACGAAAGGAGCGAAAGAACCGGACCTTATTCCTTACGAGGCAATTACAAGCGGGGAAAGAGACCGAGGCAGTTGTTGATGAGTAACTGGCTTGACATACGTACCCACGACGACAGCTAAGCCTTCTGGGATGCGCCGTTGACAAGACGCAATGCGGATAGAAACCCGTCGAGCAGAGGAGAGGACTTTTCCATGGAGGAAGAAGGGAGCTGGGTGGCAGAGCGCAAAACAGGCCGGGCAGAGCAGAAGCGATCCATCGCGGGGAAACCGTCGGGGCTGGACTCCGCACGCGCTAAAAAAGGGCCCTAATCCCAGAGCCGGGCCACACATGGAGAGCTCTCCAGGGTTCACTGCCCTGGTGGCAAACTCTGGTTTGTCACTAATAGGCCGCGGTGGGGTGTGCCTAATCGTTTCACAGGAGAATTGAATTAGGAGCACCTCTAGAACTCTGGTTTTGGGATGGTCGCTATGAGGTCGCTTCCTTGCGAAATCAAAATGCCAATGGTCGGACAGCTGGCACGTTGCCAAGGCTAGTACCAAACTGAATATATTGCTCCCGCTGTTGCCAACAAATCCACCACAGAATTCACTCGCGGACCGTCCGGTGTAGCCGAAGTCAGCACAGACTTCAATCGAAGTTGAATGCGGCGGTCTAGTGGCTAGCATCGTACCATCGAGTCAGTATAGGCGACTAGGTTCCTGCAGCTGCATCCGCATCTGCATGTGTACCCCAGCTGTCTGACCCTAGTAATCCGCGTCTCGGAGATCGGCCTCGCCCACTGCCTGTTTGGTAGGTGAGAAGTAAGACATTGTAGCAGATACGATGGAAACTCGTCGTCATCAACAAACTTAATCCTTGTCACTGCCACTGCTTTCTCAACGGTCAGCGGGGTCTCATTATATACTTAGTACGCAGTAGTTTGATTGATCTATCTGACCGGTGCCCATAGTGGGAAAGCCTTGTACTAGAGACCATATCCAATATGTTAACCAGGACACGGTCGACCGAAGGATGTGGTAGTGAAGAGAGTAACGTAACTCGAGGAAGCATGCCGTGAGGATTTGGGGAAGACGACCTGTTGGTTGATGCGGACAAACGAGACAAAGGACGTGGTTCGATCACCTGATCTCCTGAAATATTGGATTTTTTCAGAAGGCGCGGTTCATGTTCTTCTCCAACCGCTGGCTGTCTAGGATCTAGCGTTAGCTCCAAGTAGACACGCAATCTGATGCTCCTACTTTGCTGGGCTCTAACCAGATCCAATCAAAATCGCAGTGAGCGATAGTAAGAAACTATTATGAGTTCTTGCAGGGTCGATCATTTGCTCGAAATGTACACAACTCATGAGCAATAATGCTGGTAATATTATTCCTCCTACTGGGAGGAAGGATGTCTGCCATACTCCTCACCCTCCTTATCCGGCTTCGAAAACACTGGTGATGATCATACTTACAAGGAAAATGCTGGAAAGCTATCCTGCATTGACTGGTTTTGGAGTTCGTGATAAATAGAGGCTGAGCTATACAGTTGAGGTACACAAAACATGGTTATATCACTACAGATTATGCTCGACAAACCCCTTAGGATTCGAGGCTAATTCATAATGGCTCACAAGTACTCTCCGGACTGGATTTAGGCGGGCTCCCGCTTGCACATCATAAGCAGGTCGTCAGCGGCCCTGGGCAACCTTCTTATAATTCTCTAACGCACGATCTCGACTCTGAGAATGATCCACTATCGGCTTTGGATAACCATTCCTCTCAGCAATATCCCCAGCTCCTCTGCCATATGGGTCATGGACCGCCGCGCCCTTAACGGCACGTAGTTCCGGCACCCAGTGACGAATATACTCGCCTTCAGGATCAAACCGCTCACTCTGGCGTAGGGGATTAAATATCCGAAAATATGGCTGGGGATCAACCCCAGTACTAGAACCGAAACCCCAGCCGCCGTGGTTCGAGGCGAAGTCGCCGTCTATCAGGTGTTCCATGAAATATCGTTCCCCTGCACGCCAATCTATCAGAAGGTCTTTTGAAAGAAATGATGAAACGACCATGCGCGTGCGATTATGCATCCAGGCGGCGTGGCTCATTTGGCGCATGGCGGCGTCGACGATCGGATAGCCAGTTTTGCCCTCACGCCAGGCATTGAAGTGATCCATGTTATACGACCACGCTAGATTGGTGAATTCAGGTTTGAAGCACTTGTTCATACTGTGATATAATTGTGGTCAGTGTGGATACAAGTAGTTCGCAGATATGGAGAAAACACACCATATGAATGGCCAATGAACCAGGACATGCTTATAGAAATCTCGCCAAGCGACCTCGCTAATCCACGATGCATAACCAGTCTGGTTCGCATTCAGTTGACCTCTGGTTTTTTTGCGGGCCTCAAAAACAGCCGTTCGTGCACTAAGTGCCCCAGACGCGAAATAGGGGCTTAGCACGGATGTATTACGCCCGGCGAGTGAGTTTCGCAAATCATCATAGTCATTTGCCTTCTCCTCCAGAAACGCCTCCAGCCTACGGAGTGCCTCATGCTCGCCCTCCGGGTACAACTCCCTGAATCTTGTCTTTTCTTCCTCAGTGAGACGCTTGTTCTCCGGTGCAACAGGCACCTCGCAGTCAAAGAGGGTCTTGAAGTGCTTGCGTGCATCGCCGGGGTTCGACCCCGGCTCATCCGCAACCTCAAGGTATTCTGGATTCTCATTGAGGAAGGCACACCAGGAGCGAAACCACGGGCTATAAACTGCATACTGTTTCCCCTGTTGGCTGACTAGCTTGCCCGGAGTGACAACACATGTATCATGTGCTGCTTCAAATCGTATGTCGTTTCTTGCGCACAGTCGAACTAATTTCGCCTCGCGGCGCAATTCATCGACTTCATACTCCAGGTTTGCAAAGAGGTGACCTGCACCCCATTCCTGGCATAAATCTATAACCCTTTGAGGAATGTCCTTCCTCTTTTCCTGCGTCTCCATATACAAAGGAATATCCAGCTCATTCAAGTCTCGTCGCAACAATTTTAGTGTTCGTAAAGTCAGATCCACACGAGGGGCGCTCGACAAATGAGCTGTCAGGTCCTCCGGAGAGAGAATATACAAGCCGATCAGAGGCAGGTTGTGTTCTCGCGCAAGCTGATATGCCATTTGTAGGCCGCGATTGTCATGTAGTCGAAGATCTGTTTTGAACCAGTGAACGACGGCTGCCTTGGGCTCAATTTTCTGACGTTCATCGAACGTGTCTTCGTATGCCCTCTGTAGGGCTTCAATGGGTCGTTCCAGCGTTCCGTTATTATAAGCCTCGCACCGCTCGTTGCACATCTCAGGGGGATAGAATTCACGCAGGACGATGCCAAAGTCTTCTGTATCTTTGGCATGAGGATGTGGACGCATAATATCGGGCTTTCCGCGTTTATTGGTGTCTGATGAGGCACCATTGATGGCGGAAATGCTCGATGACTTGCGCTTTTTTGGTGGCATGTCGCTAATGAGCGCTATGAAGGCGCGTTGCAGAGATACTGTCCTGTAGGTGAGAACTTGTTGGGTATTGAGAAGTGGCCGGACGCGCAGACTCCGGAAAATCATACCGCAATTGATTTTCGAAGGGCATTGGAAAAGGCTGGGTTTCGTTGAGCTCTGGGGTCAGATCGATCGAGGATCTGGACCGCGCCAGGGACGCTGACGTCAATACCCGGGATGTTATCTCAACGAAACAACACCCCTGCGCTGGGACCTGTTCTAGGTGTTGCTGACAGTGCTTTGAATATTATAGGCTACCTTTTACATATTCCTACAAGAAGTCTGTTAGATTTTAACTTTTACCGAAAAAAGTCCTTGCGCGACATGGCCCATTCCATTGCCTGTTGCAATGTTCCTAGACAGAGGCAGTCATGCACTAGGCTGCGCGTTCAACATCTCATTTAGGCAAACAAGCAGGTAACCGCACGTTCGTGTATCATTTATCTTTCAACAGGACATGGGTGGATCCGCAAAAGGTGGTCCGGCTGTCCACTATAGTGAGCAAGCCGTCGGTAGTTCGTCTGGAAACGCGAGTGTTTGTATCCGGGACTGAAGCCGAGTCATTGCCCCATCCCAAGCTAAGACAACGGTGCTCATACTAGGTCGAGCAAGTATCTCTGTATAGAAGGTGATATTATACCATTTCTTAAGGTACCTCTGCGACTAAGTGGCTCAACGTCTATATGCAGCGATGCAAGTATTGGATACAACCTGACCTTTAAGGTGATTGGTGGGTTCGCATTTTCATGAAACCGGTATGTGAAACCCATAACTTCTGCCTTTGGTGCCTATAGCAGTTCATAGACGGGGTGTTGGGTTCGAGTAGAATTCCTTGCCGATGCAAGGGCATCTCAGGAGAATTCACAAATATGAATGGCCCAACTGTAGGAAAGGCTTCCCTATTGATAACTAAGAAGCTTCCTCCGACGGCAAAATGAAATGGCATTGAATAGTGCTATGTGTCATATGTCAATTGATAGATAGTATTGGGAGAGAGGCACCGAAGTATACGGAGAACATTTGCAATTTTTGGGACTACCCGAAGAGGTAGGAGAAGGCAACTACCCAAAAGTGTTGTTCTTGGTGCCTGAGGCCACCAGACAGGAGGTGTTGTGACTTTTTGACTTTCCGTGAGTGACCCCGCCAAGCACGGCAGAATGAAGAATTTATCCAAACAGTGGATGACTCCTTTCTGAACAGCAGTCAACAAGTCATTGGTGATGATGTTCTAGCTAATCAACTAGTGTGATTTTGCACCACACCTCTTCCGTGACATCCACTGTACAATCGAATACAAACAAATGTCTAGTTTGTGCTGCCCTTGATGCACGCCCTGCCAATGGCAAGACGGTTTGGAATCTGATGGAAAGAGGCTGAATGAGGGAGACTCTGAGCTATCCCCCCCAAAGCGGACCACGTCAACCAAATTCAAAAAGCCTCCGTGGCATCTTCTTGCTTTGCACTCACTACTCCACCGCTGGTGTTTGACAAGCCAGGGAATACAAATCACTGTATATCCAGCAGCTGCGTTATTTGCATTCGGCCCAGTATTTGTCTTGCTTGCACTTGTCCCTGTGACTACTAGCACGTAGATGGCTGCGCTATTCCTCTTCTGCTTGGGCCTGTTCTGGCTTTAACTCCGATCATTATCTCCGAACACCCAATCGTTATCTCCGAAGGATATCATTCACAGCAGTCATACCTGCCATGTCAATGTTCAGGTCCCCTGAAGAGGTCTCATCCTCGGATTCGTCCTCGGACGCGTCCTCGTACGAAAGTCAACATGATATCCCTACGGAAGACTGCGCGCCCGCCCAAGGTACACAGCTGAATAAGGAAAATGGCCTTGATGAATCTCGCCTTCTGCAGGACAATGCCCATCGAGACCATGAGGCTGATTCCGGCAAGGTGCTGGAGGGTGATACAAAGGGCCATTCAAACATGATGACGGCTGCCCTTCTCGAATTCTACTGTCTTACCCGGGCGGCAGACATCCTAAACAAACAGGCGGGCGCCAATGGACAGTTCACGCGTGACTCGCCTGAAGTGCGATATCTCGGGAACCAGTTGTACACCCGCAAGTCTGCATTCCTGTCCTCAGTAGGCGCGGTGTCTCAGGGCATTGAAGGAGATGAATGGGGGGCAACAAGACAGTATTATCGCGACAACCTTGATATGTTGGGCATGTCTATGCTAGACAAACTCAAAATCGACGATGTCGGTGGACAGCAATCTGGAATCACGGCAGCAACCGATGCAGGCCCGAGCTTAGAGCAAAGTAAAGCTCTTCAGCCATGGCCGGTCAATTCAGAATTGAATTTTAACTTGGTGCAGGCCGGACCTAGTGGTGTTGGACAGCCAGTCGGCCAAAGGCAATTAATTGGCCATGAAAACGTCCCTGCCCCACGAAACTTTCCATTCGACCTCACAGCTTTGCTTAATCCGTCAACACATCTTCCAGGAAGCTCGATAGTTGGCTTGCCTCTGCTTCAGCCCAAACCACAACCGCCAAGCAGTCATTTGTCACGTTACACTACGGAGTTTTCTGAGGTCAAAGTTCTAGGCCGTGGCTCCTTTGGTGAAGTATACCACGTCAAAAACCACATAGACGACCAGGACTACGCAATCAAGAAGATTCCTCTCAGCCAGCGAAGACTTCAACAGCTACAATGTGGTAGTCAAAATCAGCTGGAAAAAATCATGAAGGAGATTAGAACACTCGCACGACTCGAGCACACCAATGTCGTTCGATACTATGGCGCCTGGGTGGAACGGTCTCCCATTTCCGGTTACGCCACTTCGCTACACGAGGAGTCTGAAGATATCAACTCTGCGCAGATGCAAAGCCGAACTTATAGCATGGGAATGACAGACAGTAAAAGCTTCGGGATTGTTTTCGAACAGTCAGAGACTTCGGATGTATCACAGCATTCATTACAATTGGATCCTGAGTCAAAGGGCTCCAGTGCATATCATCGCCGTCAGAGCCACTCCAGTGTGGGCACCCACATATCAAAGGCATCCACTGCACATGGAATCGGGGAAGATGATGAGGTAGAGACCATCCCGCGCAACTTCAGCCTCGCCTCACAAGACCCGCTGTCTACCTTTGGTGGCACTGATGAGGATATTTTCACGGATGGCCTCAGTGAAGATCCATCCAAGCTACAAATTCAGCGCCGATACCGAAGCGCAGCTCAACTGCCCGCTGTTGTTCTGCATATACAAATGTCGTTACACCCGATCTCGCTCAGCTCTTACCTCAACTCACAACCAAGCGCAAACACGGAGCACGACAAAACGCTCCCACGGCGGCACTGCTATCATCTGGTGCCTTCTCTAAAGCTAATGCTGGACATAATCTCCGGCGTTGATTATCTGCATTCCAAGGACATTGTGCACCGCGATCTGAAGCCAGCTAATATCTTCCTTTGTGCCCCGGACAAGAAGCAATTGGATGGATGTTCTCCCTGTGCAAGCGCGCATGGACCGATCTATAGATATTGCCATCCTCGTATCGGTGATTTCGGTCTTGTCGCAGACATCTCGCACATCAACGATTGCCCTCCAGAGGGCTCATCGACACAGCCAGAAGACGCAGAGATACACACCGTCGTTGGAACCGAATTCTACCGTCCACCTTTCCACGCCAGCAAGGCAGGAATGACAGAACGCCCACGCCAGCATGGCAAACCAGCATCCCTATACGTCATTGACGAGACCCTCGATGTATACGCGCTGGGTGTTATTTTGTTTGAACTGGTTTATCCACTCAATACCAAGATGGAGCGCCAGCTTGTTCTCACCGGGCTCACCCGAGGACCACCCGGGCAAACTTCAACCGGACCTATCTTTCCCGAAGACTTCTCACACAAGCTTCACATGGGCTCCATGACCCTTGCTGATGGAACGTCAGTAGCTGAGTATGTAATGACGTGCATAAAGGGCATGCTCGAGCCAGATCCGCAACAGCGCTGGCGCTCCCCGCAGATTAAGAAGTATTTGGAGGAGCTTCTTTCACAGGTGCATGGCCTAAGCTAGAGTGTTGGTCTGTAGCATGGCCTCCCAGGGTTGGAATGTGTATTTAGGTAGCAAAGTGATCGATGGATCGATTAGTTGGGGTTGGCGAGGTGCACATGGTCAAGAACATACTGAAGATCTGGAAACGGGAGTCGATTAGCGTGTGCAAGGACAAGGGATCATGTAAATTATCTAGAGGTAAGCATAGCGTTGTACCGAATTAGATCGAAAGCATTTCCCTGCATGTTGTTACCCAAACTATTGAAGGTTGCGAGACTCTTCTGTACAACGTAGACAGCGGCGAACTCCCCGACCGCCACAACAACCAGGGCCTCGGCGATGCTCCGACCAGCCCGAGCGCCATTCTCCACCGCCAATTTGCGGGGGTGCAAACCGAGCACTTACATCTCTTCAATTCATGATTGTTTATTCTAGGATACAACTTAACTGTCTCGCGAACAACAACTGTGTCACAAGAAGACAGGAGGGCAGAAGAAGGGATGGCAGGTTTAAAGACAACAATTGGTATATTCTTACAGCACAACATCCAGCCAGACATGAAAAGTAAAGACTTTCCTATGCGGCTACTACTGCCAGTGTCACCCCGCAACGATGATATGCCGAAGCACGCGGGCGATCAGTTCCCCGACCGCGGGATCTCTCCGCCCATACAACACCGGTATATATCTCAGCCAAAGCCAAACCTTCACCTATTTAATCCCTTGCGCATGTCTTCCTTGTGCACGACCTTCCACCCCAGGCAATTCCAACTCCCATTGACCACCATTGTCTAAGTGGTGAGAACTTATCAGCAGTATATCGGATCAACCGCAGGCCTCCATAGCATCCTACTAGCTGCATAGGACAAGATGACGAAGGAGAGGCAGTTGTCTGCACAGCAGATTTCTGAGCACAAGACGCCCGACGACTGTTGGATTGTGGTGGACAATCAGGTGTGGGATGTGACGGATTTCTTGGAAGAGCATCCGGGCGGATCTTCGAGTAAGACCTCAGCGTCACGGTTGACGATACTACTAGAATTTGAGACTGACACCTTAACACAAGTTATCCTAAAGTATGCCGGACGCGATGCCACCAGAGCATACTCTGAAGTTCATGCTCCCAGTGTCATCAAGGCACATCTATCACCAGAGCGAAATTTGGGAGTGCTGGATGAAGCGACAATTAATGAGGACTGGTTGAAGCAACCGCCCACTCAGAACCCGCCCTTGCTTCTGGAAAATGAAAAGCCACCGCTAGACACCCTGATAAACTCCCATGATTTTGAACTGGTCGCATCGAAGACTGCTAGTAAGAAAACATGGGCGTTCTATTCCAGTGCTTCAACAGACCTGATCACGAGGGATGCGAACAAGCTGTGCTTTGACCGTATATGGCTCCGACCGAGAATCCTAAAGAATGTGCGATCAGTCGACACGAAGACCAAGCTGCTTGGCGTCAATACCGAGCTTCCGCTCTTCGTTAGCCCGGCAGCAATGGCGAAGCTCATCCACCCAGATGGCGAGTTGGGAATTGCTAAAGCTTGTGAGAACAAAGGCATTTTCCAAGGAGTATGCTTGTCATTCTTTCCCTGAATGTTGCCATCATTGCTTTTTCATACTGAACTCTTTTACAGGTCTCCAATAATTCCTCCTATCCCCTCGATGAGCTGTGCAGCGCTGCACCATCGGTAAATATGTTCTTTCAGCTATACGTGAACCGCGATCGTGAAAAGTCCGCTGCTCTCCTTCGCCAATGCTCCGCCAATCCCAACGTCAAAGCTATTTTCATCACGGTGGATGCCGCCTGGCCTGGGAAGCGGGAGGCAGATGAGCGCGTAAAAGCCGACGAAACACTATCGGTCCCGATGGCGCCATCCAAAGCAAAGAATGACAAGAAAGGTGGCGGTCTGGGACGAGTAATGGCAGGATTCATCGATGCCGGACTAACCTGGGAGGATATGGCGTGGGTGCGACAGCATACACATTTGCCCGTATGCCTGAAAGGTGTCATGTCCGCTGATGATGCGATCCTTGCCATGGAAGCCGGACTCGACGGCATCCTGTTGAGCAACCATGGCGGTCGGAATCTCGATACCAGCCCACCTTCCATTGTCACTCTATTAGAGCTTCACAAGCGGTGCCCGGAGATCTTCGATCGGATGGAGATTTACGTCGATGGTGGTATTCGGCGGGGGACCGACATTCTTAAAGCAGTGTGTCTGGGTGCAACAGCGGTTGGAATGGGACGCAGCATGCTCTTTGCAACTAACTACGGCCAGGATGGTGTAGAGCATTTGGTTGATAGTAAGTGTGCTCTTATTTTGTCTCGTTGCCCAAACCAGGCCAATTTCTGCTTGCTAACAATACTTACCACTAGTCATGAGAGACGAGCTCGAGACAGCCATGCGCAATGTAGGAATTACTAGCCTCGACGAGGCTGGTCCCCACCTAGTCAACACAGGAGATATAGATCACCTGGTCCCCAGCTCGGCCACTCATCCATACGCACGGATGGTAGCGAAAGGTAGACGTCCAATCGGACCAAAGCTATGATATGAATGATGAGTTTTAGCCATAATTTCTTAGCCAGTTTGGTAATACAGAAACGCATCCATGCCGCTTAGATAGTCGCAGAATATCCCCATCTCAAGCCACGGATGTCAGGATATTTGATTGGGTAGCTCGCATCCAAATTCTCGACAGACTTAAGACTCCTTGAGTACCATTATGCGTATAATTACGAATCAAGCCAAACAATGGCATAGATTCAAGTGGCACTGACATAGAAGTGCCGAGGAAATCAAACATGATCAGCTTTCGCAACTTTGTTTCATTACAGGCACGGGTGTACCGGAAGGCGGGTATTTCTAGTAATCTCATTCATGCATAGCTGCTCACCCATGTACAGATCGCATGAGTATGTACAAAGTCTTCTTCATTGCCACCAGTACCTGGAATGTCGGCAATTATGCAAGTTGTGGATGAAGTCATTCCATAGCATAATCTGGCCCATGCCCAGCAAGCACCGTTTATGAAGCTTTGTGAATTATCTCCAGATCCGGAGCGCCACTCCCCACAACTGACTCGACACACGCAAGGCAAGAGACGACTGGAGATCGAGGGAACCGGTGGAGCCGGGCCCGTTTTTGGGATCATCGACTTCCTGTCATCTCGCTTACCCGCTGGCGTGTTTCTACCCGGCGCCAAACCCCAATCTATCTCCGGCATTTGACATCGACAGTCCAACTTCATCTCATCCATTCAATCAATCTAGCTTTTGGCGCATCTCAAGCTCGTATGATGGATCCTCCTTGCAGGCCTGACGACTCGATCGACGACAGCGTGATTCTTCATGGTTCTACCAATCTGCAGCCCCCGTGACTTCTGAAACAGCGGAACTCCGAGCAACGCCATCAACCTGCCTCGGCCATAGATCCTTTCATCAAACTGCAAATGATCTGGAGATGACGGAAGCTTCGCTTAGCTTGATCAACATTGAAGATTTTTGGCAGAGCCGATCATCCGAGAAATGTTAAATAGCATGAACCGCCCTCGAAATGATTCTTCTCTGCAAGCAGATCGATTTCTTCCGACTCGCCAGTCTTTCATTCTTTTCCCTTTCTGAACTTCATTGATTGAAGTTCTTCCATTCTTTCGTCACTCTTTATATATTCCGCTGTGCGTGAATCAAAACAAAATGCCTCTTTCTAAGATCGCGGGAGTCCTGCTGGCCTCAGCTTCCCTTGTGGCCGGACATGGCTATGTGTCGAGCATTGAGGTGGACGGTACTACTTACGGTGGTTACCTGGTTGACACCTACTACTACGAGTCCGATCCCCCGGAGCTGATTGCCTGGTCCACTAATGCCACGGATGATGGCTATGTCTCTCCCACCCAATACGAGAGCTCCAACATCGTCTGCCATCGTGGCTCCGCTCCTGGTGCACTTGAAGCTCCGGTCGCACCGGGTGGAACCGTCAAGATGACCTGGAACACTTGGCCTGATGATCACCATGGCCCAGTGATCACCTACCTGGCCAACTGCAATGGCTCTTGCGCTGACGTCGATAAGACGGCTCTGCAGTTCTTCAAGATTGATGCTGGTGGCTTGATTGATGATTCGGAAATCCCTGGCACCTGGGCTACCGACAAGCTCATAGATAACAACTACACCCGCAGCATCACCATCCCGTCTGATATCGAGGCTGGAAGCTATGTTCTTCGCCACGAGATTATTGCCCTGCACGGTGCTGAGGACCTGGATGGCGCCCAGAACTACCCCCAGTGCATCAACCTGAACGTCACCGGAAGCGGCACTGCCACCCCGAGCGGAACCCTGGGAACTGCCTTGTACAAGGATACCGACCCCGGCATCTACATTGACATCTGGCAGAGCATCAGCAGTTACACCATCCCCGGTCCGACCCTATACACTGCTGGCAGCACTGCCACCGCGGCTGCTGCTGCGACTACCGCTGCTGCAGCCACCAGCGCCTCGACGACCGAAGCCGCTGTCGTGACTTCTGCTGCCGCCTCTTACGCTGGCACTGGATCCCAGACCACCATGGTCACCTCCTCTCGTCCTCAACCCACTGGTAGCTCCGGCAGCTCCTCCGATGTTGGTAGCTCTGGTAGCACCAACAGCCAGTCCGGCAGTGGCTCAACGGCTGGCGGCCAGTTCGGTCAAACCCAGCCTGACATGGCAGGACCCGGAAACGCCAGCCCCTCCGACTCAGCCTCTACCCCCACCAGCTCCACTCCCAGCGCTGCTTCCAGCTCCGCATCTTCGGCTACCTCGGGTGTCTTGAGCGGCTCCTGCAGCCAGGAGGACTACTGGTACTGCAATGGCGGCACGGCGTTCCAGCGCTGCGTCAACGGCGAGTGGGATGCGTCTCAGAGCATGGCTGCGGGTACTGAGTGCACTCCTGGCATCTCGGAGACACTGACGATCGCTGCTGCTTCGAAGCGTCGCGATGTTAGCGGTCTGCGCCGTCGTCGCTTGTAAAATAGATTCTGGGCACTGTTGTCAAGTGTTTGGCTAACCTGGAGGATCCGGTGAAGTTATATGACCATTCTCTCTAAATGTACAATATGTGCACTTTTTCCATATCACAGAAGAAAAAGCCTTCTTGACATAGTTTCGAAGATGGGGAAACCATATCCTGAGGCCATGCGTCTGCTTCAATATACGTCTCTCATATTAAGTAACCCCATTCCACTCAATGCAAGGAAAACCTTCAGTGCGGTCTTTCACCTCCTGCTAGATAAACTAGACAAACAAGTCTCCTCCTAAATGATTTACCTGAGATATAGTATGTACATACCAATACTGAATATGCCATGAGCGGTTTTTCTGTCCCCACTGAGCATGAAACTATTGAAGAAGGATGAAATGTTTGGCAGAGTACAGGTCTACAGATCCAGCACGGGGGTTGGTAGGGACATGCATGCATACAGAATTCAAGGGACTTGTCGTGAAAAGAAAAACATGGGGGTACAGTAAAAACCAGACTGATCTTTACGGATTTATGAGGAGAGAATGAAGGATAGTGTCCCCTGGTCAGGTAGGTGGCTGGCTAACATGTATAAATATCATGTGCACAGATGGTAGCTATACAGATTGCCCTCAACTTGGTGGCCATAATCTGCTATTCACAAAACCAAAATCGGTATTGTCCTGTTTGATAGTAGTGTGTCTCGGTGACACTGTCAGGTCTTGTGGTATCATCACCCAGGACTTGAAATCAAGGGTACTACGGAATGGAAAGTGTCATTGGGACCTGCCATATTCTCGCACATAATTTTTCATTGGCATAGGAGGAGCTTTTGACATTATCAATGCAGCGTAGCGGACAAGGTGCAGGAAGCAGATACAGCTAAGCGCATTGACCGATTGATGTAGTTATTGTCCCATGGAAAAGATCATTGATTAAGGCTTCTGGTACAAACTATAGTGGACACAAGAAGAGATATTTAACGTGATTCGGTTGTTCAGCGACACAGAAGATAGACCACGTCGCACGGGAATTAATGAAGTAGGGTTGAGATGTACGATCAACGACACAAGGAAAGCGTTGATAATCATTTCTACATTGGCAGAAGTGAGCGGTGGTATGAAGGTAATCAACCCAATACTCCACCGTTCCTAGTAAGCTTTCGCTGGCTTGGCTTAGCTAGTGCCTGAGCAGGGTTGCACTCGATTCTCGAGATCTAGAATGGCAATAGAAAAGCATAAGGGATGGTAATTCCACCAAGAGGGCAGCAGTGCGATAGGTATAAATCTATCAAGGGTGCTTTTCAGCATCTAATCCACGTAAGCAATATTCAAGGAAGCCATCGCCACATGAACACTTTGCCAGTATTTCTAGAGGTTGTGGCAATCCCACAATCGACAAAAACGTCCCGATCCCCTGCTTCGCTTGATCTCCCGATCAACTCAGGTGTCTCTATATCTCTTTCCATGACCTGAAATCGTGGGTTTACCAGTAGGGTGGTAGCGGCTAGCACAGGTAATGCTTAAAAATTGTTGTAGGCAATTTGACTATGTCGACGTGGCTCGTTCTCCGTAGTAAGCCAGGAGATGTGATACGTAATATCCTGCAGGTACAGTGGCTGGCTGATTGGTGGCGGTGTCGAAACGCAGGTAAATTCTTGTAGGGTGATGGAGAGACATTGTCATTTAGCGGCTAAGAGAAGCGGATTACTTTCTACCCACCCCATTGAATTCTTTGAAATCTCTGTTTTGGGGTTAAGTTCCTGTTCTTGTAAGACTCTTGACGACCGTTTCTCGAATATATTTATCTTACTAGATGCTATTGAATTCTATTCGGGTATGATCATCTTGCAGAGTCGGCGAAAGGTTGCAAAAAGAAACAATAACGGTGAGGCTATCTGGCTACATAAACCTTATTGCCTGCCGCGTCACTAATTGCAGCCAGGTTGCAGTGAAACCCTTCTACGAACTAGATGATAGGCTAACTACCCCGTATAAGATTTAGTTGCAGCAAATTATGAGGAAGCAGGTGCAGCATGCAAGGGCCTGGGGAGGCTGAAACTGGTGTCCCACCGGGACGGTTGCCTCCATGAGTCCATGCTCAAAGACAGTGTGTAGTGACTTGGTTACAATCTGTTCAGCCTTTCATGATCTAATATATTGTTTCTGTTTCAGAGAATCATTTTATAAGCACTTCTGATGCCACCGTGCCACACGGATGCTAGCATGAAAAGAAATGGCTCAAGACTTCGTGTAGCCTTGGATTTGTTCATGCAGGATGTATTGAATTTCCGATGAGAAAGCAATCGTCATCGCCATTGCTCAATCTGCAAATGATCATCCGTACTACAGTATTGAGCGGCTGACTCTCAGTTAAATAGCTCAACAAAGTTCAGCTCTGCTGGTGAATGGAGGGCAAACATGCAGGTCGCATTTCGATAGTCGCCTCTTTTGAATCAGTGTCGCGGTCAAGATAGAGTACTGTAGGGAGCAGATCATACTAAGAAGTATTAAGATATACATCGGCTGACTGAGGGTATCCCTTGCCGCTAAATGCATTGACTTACTTCCCACTTTGCTGAGGCAATAACACAGTGAAGTCCATCCAAGTATTTAATCTGAGTACTCACCCCAGCTGTTTGATCTCATTACATCCTCCAAAGCATTTCATTTGGTCTACAACTTTATCCTTTATCATCATGAAGGTCTCAGCTGTCCTCTTCGCCGTTCTCTTTTCTGCCTTTGTGGCAGCCACCTCTGAACACGATCCTGCGGCCAAGATTGGTGCATCCATTGGGAAGCGAACGGTAGGGAGCTGACGTCCCATTTGTTTTGTTACCCATGAAATGTCCATCAGAAGTACTGACTAAAAGGTTTGGTAGGAGGCCGACTCTGCTTCGTTATGCGACGATCTCGGTGTCCTCGACTGTTAAGCTACACGTTTCCGCAACAGCTATCCAGCCAGCTGCGCCAGCAATTGTGCCTGTGATGTTAAATGACTTCAAGGGAACGGGAGATGTTGGCAAAACACACCTTCAGCGTTTATACGCCGTCTTGTGTCTCTGTTTTCCTCTATGTGACTGTGTGAATTTGACTCTTGTCCACCGTGCCTTAGTATAGGCCATTTCCTATAACATGGATTTTCCTATGCTCTTATGCAAATAAAAAAGCTCGGTCTGACATCTACCATGATTCGACGCATGGGACCGTTTATCTTGTGACCCGAATAGTGTATTCTCTATATACTCTAAGCCACAGAGTACGATTCGTTACAGGCATAGCGGCTATTACTGTATCGATATCATAGCGTTCCATCAAATTGAGTGACACAATAATATTCCTTTGGACCAATTAAAGATTTGATTTGGGTCTCCCAGCTGCATCACCTGCTATATAGATCTGATATCGAGATAGATATACTCGATCTAGCACGACGAAGTGACATCTTGCAGCCCAGTCAACTGTCTTGGCAGAACCATCTTTGAATACGCAATCAAGAGTCCCATGCACCATAGCCACATCAGAGTTAGGCCCGTACGGGAAAACTTGCTTGAGGCGATGTGTGCAGTGCTTAGTTGGATTCCACAATGCTTTTCTCAGGGCATATATTCCTATCAAATCATCAATGATTAGAAAGAGTTTTGGAAAAACCTAAGAAATGATTCTGTCAAGCTTACCTTCTCTACCACGCGCTTCCTTTTCTCCCATTATTACCGTAGCATCGGGCGTAAAGCATTGTGAATATTTCTCGTGCTCATTCGGTGAGTCCATCAGGAGGTAGAACTCGTTCAAGAATCGTTTATAAGCGGGATCGAAGGGTATTAAGGGGTATTCCGGGCCCTTTTCCGGCCTTTCTAACGCTGGTGTTGGAGTTAGTCAAGTAGTATTTTGTGAACTATGGCCAGGTACTTACCATCGTTTGGCAGGATGGCCAGTGTCTCTTGTCTGTATTTCTCATCCAGAAGTACAGTTTCCGCCAGGCTTGTGTCGAAGAAACATCTCACTTGAACGATCTTCTTTGTTGAGTTGAACTTGCAGTGCCAGGAATAATGTTGGCTATACAAACGATTGCCCAACTTTGTTCGGGTGTCTTTGGTCTTCAATTCAACGTTAACCCACCCTTCCTCGTTTCTTGTCACGCTATCAGGGAAGGCTATTTCAAATATAGGGCCTGGGTCTGCTATCAGTTTGATGATCGGCAGCCACACCTTATCCAAGAATTCTGCCTTCGACCTGCATACTCCTGATAGAGCGTTTTGTCCTGTGATTTCCCAGTGCACATTGTCATCGACGTGGCTGAAGAAGGATTCGTAGCCGCGAGGGACTTTGCTTAATTCTCCGAATATGAGTAGAATATCGGCGTTGGTAACAAAAGACATAATGAGGCGTCGTTGGGGGAAAGCGTATTTTGGGTGACACTCATCAAGGACATTCAGAGTAACGGAGGCCAAGGTAAGACATTAATACTGAGTGGCAGGCCTGATGATAGCTTATCAAGCCTAAGCGTTCATTCTGCAGCAGTTGAAATCAGCCACATTCCAGGTAAAAGTTAAACATGCGGTTCGATCTTTCACAATGCCAGTGTCCTCAGCGTTGTGCCAATAAAGAACAACTTCGCTCTAGTCATATCTACACATTTCATTTAAATGTCTAAAATTCTACCTTTCTCCATATCTCAACCATTGGGGTTATTCGTGTGTCTGACATGAGGACTCATATCATGATGATGATCCACGATCCCAAAGCTACCATTCTGAATGTCATTGACTCGGCTTCCCGGATGACGAGATGAATGAGCCGTAGTGGAGTACCATTTGATAGATGTGACAGAACTGGATACTTGCATCTATGGAGAGAGCTCAGAACCTTGTTGTTCGAAAATTGAGAAAGTTTAACGTGTAAGTGGCGATCCCATAACTAGGGCACAGAACTGAGCGACGGTGTGGGGAATCACAACCTTATAGGGCAAAAGCTGAGTGCGAGTCTCCGCAATGGTCCGAAATTATGAAATGTTCGAGACGTAGGAAAAGCCTTGCTTGGGCAACATTACATTCGAGACCATTACGGTCCCGGCCTTTTCAATCGGAAAGAACGCGTCGGCGAGGTGCAATTCATTTTGATTGTCAACCTCCTCCTCTACTTCCTGAGAAACGACCAAAGCAATATTCTCATCCATTTATCTGATATATCTATGGTGGCGCGCCTGCATTAACTTCCACTCGAAGGAATGCATCGAAACCTTTGAATAAGCGACATGCCAATCAACGGGTCATGAGATTCCTATTATGAGACATTCCACATTGGCTACACAAATTGTATAACCCTAGCGATTGCTCAGAGAGCATTTACAGTCGCTATTCCAGCTAATTGCTCGGGAAATAGAGTTCGGCATAGAATGGATCTGCACTTCCCAGAGTTTCCGAATGGCAAAACACAAGGCATTGCCGGAAGGGAAACTAGAGGAGAATCGGGCTTTATGAATGACCTGGAGAAGTTTTCCGTAAGCTTAGCTGATCCTCTGCAGAGCCATCTAGAACCGAAACCTATAAAGGCTATGCCAATGACTTCACCACTTCCTACATTGTCAAAAAAACACTCCGTTCCCACTGCGCACGGATATGGCAACGGATGATGTCAAAATCTAATAGGTTTTGTCAGTCTGATACCAATGTGGAGATTCGATATCATGCCTTGAACCAAGTCGTAGAACAGCGAGCCGGTATGTTTATAAGCAAGTAGTAGCTTCAATATCACACGGGATCGGGAATGCTGTCCTTTCTTTGTTTCTTCAGACGACGCCGATCCCTAACCGTACAGTAACCCTTTTGACACATAACGACATTCCTCACCATAACCAATCATTCATCCTTTTAAGATGGAGACGCTTTCGGAGAGACTTCCTGTGTATCTCCACTGGGCACCACTGTTGATCCTCGGTCTGATCTTCATCAACTACACCATAGGAGTTATCAAAGCCATCAAGTCTCCTCTCTCACGGATCCCCGGGCCATGGTATGCACCTCTCACAACATTACATCTCAACTATGCATTCGCAAGAGGAACGATATGGAAATCCGTCGAGAAGTCCCACGCACAATACGGCCCGATCTTCCGCCTCGGACCGCGACAGGTTTGGATTTCAGATAAAGAGGCCATCAAGGCCATTCTTATGACAGTTGATCTGCCGAAGGTCACCATGTATGCAGAAATATCGAGAGATCGGACTAGCCCTGGATTGTTTGGGGAGATGTAAGTGCCCTGCTACTTTCCTTTTCCTCGAGGTGGATGGCAATACGGATGAGACGGGTTAATCGAAGTCTCGTACTGATATACTACAAAGTCGACCAGATCCCCATAAGCGACTTAAGAAGTTTCTGTCTCCAGCATTCACGATTGCATACGTTGATGGTCTTGAGTTTTTGTTTTCGCAATGTGTGAGCGACCTGATCAATCGATATGTGGATCTGCTGTCATGCCCCTCGCCAAAGGGCGAGAAAGCTCCGGTAGTCACGGACCTGATGGAAGATTTGCATAGTCTTGCCCTTGACATGTAAGTATTATGATGCACAAGGCCAACTCCGGAGAACACTTTGTAGTAACACTACGCAACCCCAGAATGGGAGAGTGCTCCTTTGGCAACGGATTCGGCCAGACGAACAAAAACAGGAAATTGGAACTTGAATTTGATGAGAAATTATGGCGAACAATCCCAACAGCCATCTTCAAAGGGATGACTCGGCGATACCAGGTAGTCGAAAAATCTTTTTAGCTGAAGAGAGGAGTGAGCGACCTGCTAACGCCGAATCAGTTTGTTTACATCAAGCGCCTTCTAAGGAGACTCGGCCTAAACATCGAATTTGACTGGCCACGAGAGATGATTGCTGTACCTACATCCCGTGAAGTATTCACAATCATGATCAATTTAACTGACAATGGCATAGGCCATCTCCGCAGTCGCAGGTCATCGAAAAGCAACCCCCAAGAGTGTCCGTCCCGACCTTCTGCAACACCTCCTCGAGAATGGCGAAAGACCAGACAGCGGAGTCAAAATGGGAACTAGGGAATTTGTCGACCAGATGGCCGAGATTCTATTAGCCGGGTCCGAAACCACGTCTGGGACAATCGCCTGCTTTTTCCTGGAAATACTACGGAACCCAGAAACGAAAGAGAAGCTGATGAAGAGCCTACCGATCCTTCATCCAACTGATCCAATTGTCCCAAGCAAGACAGTCCGAACGTCTTTTGAATATGAGTACCTCGAAGCATGCATTAAAGAGGTGCTCCGACTACATCCGATAGCGTCTGAGATGGGTCGTCGGACTGGAAAGACGCCGATTGAGCTGATGGGATACTACCTCCCTGCTCATACAATTGTTTCTGCATCTTATCGCCAGCTTCACCGAGATCCGAAATACTGGGTTGAGCCCCTGCGTTTTTGGCCTGAGAGGTGGCTGGATCCTCGGCCTTTTGATGTACCTGCACCTGAGTATGTCCATACCATTGTCACTGAGTGACGATGGCAATGTGCTAATTCTCTTTACTTAGCATGCAAGCTTATTATCCATTTTCTGCTGGGAAGCACTCATGCATTGGCAAGAAGTACGTCTCGAACCCTTTCTCTCTGTCTCTATCATGGGCCCTTTCTGAATTTTCTTTGCTTCTTTGTTCCCTCCCCTCCAAAATGACAATGAGACCTAATCCGTCCAAATACTACAGCTTCGCCATGGCAGAAATCAGAATGTTAACCGCCAATATCTTTTCACGATTTGACCTGGCAGAGGTGCCCGGACAGAATATCGACTACAGACAATATATCACAATGCAGTTCGAGAAAGGATCGTGGAAGGCTGTCTTGACGCCAAGATACCAACAGTCTCATCCAGTCTCGGCCACTATAGCTTAATTGATTATCGCCTTATCCTTATATGCAGTGCAGAGTGCAGACAGGGCACACTTTCTGCATCGATAACGACCAGTAGAAGAAGAAGATCGCTATCTAGTACTCGCGAGCATTTGGGGTCTCGGACGCGATTTATAATGGTTGTTATCGGAGAGACGCTGGAAAGTTTAGAAAATCGGTGTAGACCAGCTGGCACCTATTGTAGTAATATATTTGTCCATTTCTTGCTTCATAGATTTACTACTATATTGTGTTGCTTTCACTTGGAATAGATAGTAAGCACTTGGAACAGATAGTATTAACACCAGTCTTCGGTGCCATGATAATGTGTCAACAAATTGATATTTCCGGAAAATGAAATCATATCCTAAATAGTGTGTCTACTATATTGAAACCAGAAGACTGGACAGGTATCAGACCCACACTTGCATGTAAATGCCTGACAAGACCACACAAATACGCCACTAACTCTGGCCTTTATGTCATGACTCATAAGTAGACGATTGAATTGAGAATGAAATATTCAATACAGGCATTTATTGATCGAGTTGGTGATTCCGTTTTCAGTCCGACTGGGTGTCTGATGGTGTTGGCAGATAGCTATACAAACTCTCAATAGCTAGGTATGTATAGTACTTCATTTTCTGTACTATGGAATATCATTATTCGATCTTCAGTAGTGCGGGAGGTCTATAGGCTCGAAAACCTTGCAGACATTTTCATTTGCATTTGATAAGGAGACAGTACAGTACTGGAAAGAGATCTGTATAAAGATTATATAGTGTAATTCTTGTGACACGTCTTCTCTCATAGTAAAAATACATTCAACCATCCCTCTTCTAATATGTTTTACTAATTATGGTAGCCACAGGTTTGAATGACTGTTATGATATCCAATAAATACGACCAGGGCACTCAACCATTGGATGTTTCTGTAGTACTAGTCAGGATAATCACTACTACACTATCCCGGCTGCATTGCAAGCATAAAGGGAGGGATAGGAGTAGAGAAAATAGGTTACGAAAAAACAACTATAGATTCAAAAATTCAAGATTTTATTAATAGATGGTTCGACATGGAACCAAAACTAGACGAGGTGATAACTAAATCCATTATGTAGATGGATAAATAGTCGGTGCCATGGCCACGCGCTTAAAGAAGCGATCCCAGAGCAATGCAGGGGAGACCGAGACCGATGAGGTCACCCTCCTGCAATACAATCAGTATGAGGGGCCAAGAAGGGGTCAGGTGGTTGATTGCTTACAGTGTCGCTGCCACTGCCCTGGCAGCAGGCGGCAGTCTGCTCGCACTGGTCGTTGAGCAAGTTTTGCAGGCCGACAAGGTCAAGGGCTATAGATGTCAGAGCCAATTCTTATCCCGTAGCGAGATACATACCCTGGAGGTCAAGCGGGGAGCAGTCGTCGGCCAGGCCAATACCCTGGGAGCCGGAGCCAGAGCCAATGAGGCCGCTCAAGAGGCCAGACAGGATACCGCTGTCGATATCGGTGGAGTCACCTGCATAAGTGGCCTTGTTGCAGCAGGAGAGCTGGTTGCCGCTACCGCAGGAGTCGGCTCCCTGAGAGACAGTCATGCCAGCAGGGGCAGGGATGTGGTTGACAGCACGGCCGCGGACGGAAGGCTGAGCCACAACCACAGTGGCAAGAGCGAGAGCAGCAGCAGCAGTGAACTTCATTGTGACGGTGGAGTGGTGACTCGAAAGATTGTTGGAAGATGATTTGAATCGGAAGATAGGAGTAGCTTGATGATGGAGCGAATGGCTGATGATGATGAGGATGAGAAGAACGAGGGTTGAACAGGGCTATTTATGCCTTTGTCTTGCCAGATCGTACCTGACCCCGTCTGAGGTCGAACATGGCTAGTTTCGCTAGATGTCGTCGCATTCGTGGTAGGTTTACTGTTTGCGTGAATTGTAGAGTTGCATCCAGAAGGGCAGATCAGGCACGAGAGAGGCCCTTCGTAAGATTCTGAACGCTGGCGTTGCATTTCCGACCCTCCAGCTGGGTCCTCGATGGAGCCTATCTCACGATCTAGTGTGGAGGGCATACAGAGGTTACACAAGCCGTGTGGTAAGCCGTGCGGTGACAGCCATCCCTTGCTTGGCACTCCCGGCAGGCTTTTTAGCCAGCGTCGCATCCCGCATTCTTAGCCGTCGTCTGGGAGCCTTAGCCGGGAACGCCTTTCCCGGTTCCTGGTGCTTGTGGAGGGTCAGTTCATCCGTCTTCGGTGCCGACCGGCTTCGTTGCTCATTTTCTTCCTCGGGCTCACCGGTTAAACACCGATAGATAAAGGTGACAGCTACATCAGTTGTTTTCAGATGTCTGGGAACGTAATGTGTCCCCCAGAAGGTCTGAATTTCGGCATGACTGCAGCATTCTGCCAGGCGGTACGTAGATTTTGGCGTGATCATTGTGTCCACTTCGCCAATGTATAGTAGTGCAGGGGTGCGAATCCTCGGATCATACAGATCTCTATACATGGGATGGCCGAGCATAAAACCACTGTATGCGACGACAAATTTGAGCGGTGGATGAGTGGTCTGCCAATGTAAGCCAGAGAATCGGTCAAGTTACACGAATATACCCACACTGACGCCAAAAACTAGGCCGCGATCTCGCTCCTCCAGTAATGATGCGATGATCATCGCCAGGGTAGCACCGGTCGAAAATCCATTTATACCAGCAACCGGATTAAGGTGCTCCAGCTGCTTTAGCACACGCTTCACACTCTGTTCCAGGCCCGAGATCCGCTGGCAGTCAAAAATCCCATAACCCCAAACCTTGGACTCCATATCTGGGCCGTTCACGTCGAAAGGTGCTTCACTGTAATGGAGCTTGAAATGTGGTAGTGATCGGTTGCTCTGAGACCCACCTGCATTGAGGGCCTCTTGGAGGAAGTTGCGTTTTGCGATGGAACATATCAATCGATTGACCATGGCCTACAGACGGGTCAGTGTTGGTACATGGCCTGGATTACTTGGTTCTGACCATGAAGCATTAAAATGTTGGCCTGTTCACCAGTATTCGAGATATCTCTGCTATCTGCATAGTTACGTAAGTAGCCTAACGGCGGCAGCTGAATTCCTGTCATTTCCAAGATGATGAAGTATCGACTTTCTCAAGCAATCAAGTGTCTACAAAGCCTAGATCACACTGCCATTAGTAGAAGGCAATGTGCAATATTGCGTAGGAACTACGTCGAGCTGACGGAGAGCGGTTTAGTTGACCGAAAGTTGTTAACCATCGCACCTCATTGGCACAAGGATTAGGAATCCTAGTTGTTGGTGCATTCCATATGTTTCAGTTGAATGCGAGTTGAGATACGGCGGCGAACGAGTAACTGTTCTTCGCCTATTGAAGCCTCGTGTTAGGGTCCTGAGGCATTTCTGCGCCATCTCTCCACAGCATGGCACATGCATTTCGACTCCAAAAGGTACCATCGCGGGATACAGAATATAGTTCTGAAGAAGCAAGGCTCGTCAATCAAATACCCATACACTTCGTAGATGCCCGAAAAATAAGGCTTAGAGGATTGAAGCAGTGGCACGGCACGCAACCGGAACTTTCTGGAATGCAGCTGTGCATCTGAGCAGACAGTCCATTCTAGGAGTCATGTGATAAGCCACAGCATGATTCCCCTCTTATCAAAAGACCAGTGCCGATAGGTATGCCAAAAAGGCGCGAGTAGACGCTTTGGAGAAGTAGAAGTGAGGAGGAGAAGGGAAGGAGATGGAAGCTAGAAAGGGATCTGTTACTGCCTCAGGCACTAAGGCGGTGAAGGGCGGTCGGGACCCTTCATTGGGAATCCCCGCAACTTTGCCAGCTCAACGACGTCAGCCTCTCCCAGTCTCATCCTCGCCATCATGAAGCTCGTTTATCTAGGGGTAAGGAAATGGCGGAAGCTCCCTATTCATCGTTTCTGCTGTCTGACTCCGCTCATCTTGACAGATTCTCCAAAATGCTCAAGCTCCCGCCGTGGAGCTCTGCGCCGAGCGCGACCTCAGCAGCTACTCGCGCTTCACCAAAGGAAGCGTCAGCGAGTTCATGACGATGTTCAGTAAGACCGTCGCCGAACGGACGAAACAAGGACAGAGACAGGACATTCAAGAGCAAGGCAAGTTGGCGTCCCTCGGTGTCATCTTTCCATCGCCTCTGCGGCAGCCCCTGACCGCCGGTCGCCTACAGATTTCACATTCCACGTCTACGCGCGAACCCAAGGTATCGCCGGAGTGATCATCAGCGACAATGAGTATCCGTCCCTGGCTGCTCACCAGATCCTTTCGAAGATGCTCGACGAGTTCCTCTCCCTGAATCCGAACGCCGCCTCCTCCCGTGATCCGGTGCCCTTCCCCTCCCTCAAGACCTACATTCAGGCGTACCAGGACCCACACCAGGTGGATAGCATCCTCAAGATCCAGAAGGAGCTGGACGAGACCAAAATCGTCCTTCACAAGACCATCGAGAGCGTATGTGCTGCAAGAGAACATATAGGCAGAATGACGCTAACCCCGACCAGGTCCTCGAGCGGGGAGAAAAGATTGACGATCTCGTGTCTAAGTCGGAGGGACTTAGTGCCCAGTCGAAGATGTTCTACACATCTGCGAAGAAGCAGAATTCGTGCTGTGTGATCATGTGAGCCGCGCGTGGATACCGACGCCGATAACACCACGTCGAGATCCATCCTCGACACGACCCTCGGGATAGAGGATTTGGTGTGGACTCGAAGATCATTTTTCTGTGAATTATTTGGAAGCGTTCTGTTGCTACAGGCATTCGTTTATGGTTCTTTTGACCAGGCTGGATTTGCAGGCACATGCGGGACAGGTTTGATTTACGGTAGACGAACAAATAAGCCCGAGAGCAATAAAGTGGCTTTATAACTAGAGAGGGTGTGGCCGGGCATCAACCATGAGGTGTAGGGGGGAAGAAAGTAGACCCGAAATCACCAGCTATCCAGCTTTGCAGTCAATGGATAGTAGTGAGTGCGATGTACTGTGGCCTCGTCCCAGCAGTGGATCCGTAGAGGGGCACATCTGCGATGCTTATCTATGCTCGGGATCCGGCACGGTGATTGGCCCAACCAGGCAGTGCGATGCCTAAGTATAAATATTAGACTTATTTATTGCAAATCATGGGGAGATATTAGCTCATCCTCGGGCCCTAGTCTGCCAGTGCATCAACTTGTGCACTGCAGAGTCCCTGGGCTGGCTGCGGCACCACGCGACCACCCCTAAGCACCCAATCGGCCCTAACCCAGGTACAAGGACTTGCCAGCTGGATGAGTGTCCCTGTCGGACTGTTTCATCTCTTCTTCAACATGCTGTCGAGAAGTCTACGTGTGCCAGGTACCATCCAGTGAACCCTGCAAATCGGCCGATCATGCGGAGGGCGGCCACTCGGTCAGGTACGTTTAGGGCTTCCCAAGGCCACACCCCCTCCACCCCAACCAGCAGCACAACGAACAGCATCATCGGCGGTGGATCGCCAACTCACCTGTCCTGGCAATGCCTTCTAGAACACGCTCCACCTCAACCCAAAAAAGCCTCAGTTTCCATTAGGTACAGGAAGTGCCGGCTTGGGTAAGGCGGTGCCTATCGCCAAATCACCGAGGGTACCCGGGTCCCGGCCCGGTTGATGCCATTGGCCCTTGCCGCCGAATATCGTCCCCCCTCGATTCGGCAGCCTGTTTTGTGTGGGAGATTAGTAGGAAGAAGCATTGATTCACGGTGTGTTGGGCAACCTGGTGATGCGGGCGGTCATGACTCTATCTCGTTTCTTATAAGCCTTGAACCCGGGGTTGTCCACTTCTTTTGTCGGTCCCTCATTATACTCTCTACTCTTTCACTCCTTTTTACCCCGGTTCAGCGTTGCTTTCAGCGGTACATCCCATCTATCTAGGTCAGTGGCTCCCCGCCATTGCCCCCATCTATACTCGCTTTGTATACTAACCACCCCTCAGTATACCACTCCTCTCACGTCGTTCCCTTGCTTCGACTTTCCTTTGTGTCATTTTCATAGAAGTGCTCCGTGTCCAACACCGCCACTACATCTGATTCTCCAATTAGAGCGAGGAGTTGGCTCGCTGCTCGTCAGCATGGATTTCGACTTCCCTGTTCATCAGTCCCTGCCCTTTGCGGGGCACCGCAGCCGGTTGGGTGACTTTCTCACGGCGGACGTGATGGTTGCTGCAGGTTCGGCAGCCTTGGTCACTCCTGCTGTTATGATCCTAGACAGGTAGGAGCTTCCTCTCCTGTTCACCTACCAGACAGTGGTACTGACCATCATCTAGATTGGTCGTTGAGAAGTCATCGCACAACCAACCTATGCTTCCTGCCTTCCGCCGGCACCTCTGGCTCTCCATCACACAGCCTGCCACCTTCCTGACCTCTCGACCCAGTCTGCTCGTCTGGTCTCTTTACACAGCCACCTTTGCCGCCGCCAATGCTACAGAGACCATCCTGGACCAAGTCTACCCTCACGTCGACCACGCCATGGCAGGGGTGGCCACCTTCATGAGCACTTTTGTGGTCAACTCGTCTGTGGGCATCTGGAAGGACGTCAAGTTCGCCCAGCTGTTCGGTCACAGCAACGCCACCCCTCCCACTCCTGCTCCCAAGACCACGGCCTCTGCTCCTCCGTCCCAAAGCAAGATCCTCCGCTCCGTCAGTCGCACCATCCCCTTTGCCACCTACTCGGCCTTTCTGGTGCGCGATGCTCTCACCATCTTCGGCTCCTTCAGTCTCCCCGCCATGGTCTCGGCCTCCATCCCGGACTCCATTGCCTCAAGCGAATACCTGAAGATCCTGTTCGCGCAGCTGGCCATCCCGGCATCCATCCAGCTGGTCAGCACACCGATTCATCTACTCGGACTTGATCTTTACAATCGGCCCATGCAACTCTCGGCCTCGGACCGATTGAGTCGGGTGAGCAGGGACTGGATCGGGGCGTCCCTGACGCGTATGTGTCGGATTATTCCCGCGTTCGGGATCGGCGGGTTCGCCAATACCGAAGGCCGGGCGTTCCTGCACCAGCAATTGCGGCGATGTGAGGACTGATCTGCTGCAATGGCCAATCAGGATGTCAGAAGTCCATTATGATTCTGAATGACTCAAAGAAAACCAACTCCGTTGCCTCGCCGAGAAAATGGGGCCCATCCCCTCCAGGTGGTCGGCGGTCAAATGTTGAGTTTCCCGATCGGGAAACCCATCCGCCCATCGGGAAAAGGGTGACTTTTCCGTACCCTAGCCCTAGCACTTTCCCTTTCCAGCCACCGCCAATCACCGCCTTGCCGTACCCGGCCCGGTGTGGCATCCGGAACGCTGACTTGGCATCTCTCGACACTCATCTTTTTTGCTGCTGGCAGCAAACACACAAACCCGGTCACTAGTTGTCTATACCTATCTACCGAATCCCCGCTAGATAGCCTGATCTGACAGAAGACTATCTACTTGTTCGGCCTTGACTAGTACGAACTTCTGCCCCAAATATCGGACTTTAGATGGGGCATTCGGTCAACTTTCCGAAACCGGATGAGGGGGGAAGGGGGTTATGACGCAGTGCTGTGTCGATCTAGGCGCGCTTCCCATCCCACTTGGGGTGAATTATGGATACGCTCTGTGTTTCACCGCCGGACTGGATGCTTCGGCGTTTCCTCTTATCGTTGATGTGTGTGCGTGCATGTGAATATTCATCATGACTCTCAGTGTATATAGGCTTCAATGCTAGAGAGAGCATTACACTATCCTTTTGATCTGAGTAAGACTGCGAGTATAGTGGTGTCCATTCAAGCAGAGGCTCTTTACAACCAACAGAAATCCAATCCAGGCAGTTAGTATGTAGCCTAGTACTTGGTAAAAAGAAGAATGCTAAAACGTCACTTCATTCTTTCTATTCTTACCTCCCAGACACGAATAGATACTTATTCAAAAAGCTAGATAGCGAATACCTCGGCCCCTCGTCAAATATGCCCGACTTGGCACTATGTCTACTAATTCGATTTCGGACATGGTGTGAGTGTTCGTTTGTGGCTGAGCATAACACAACTGACACAATGGCATTATTAGTAGCATACCGTGATGAGCTAGTTATGTGAGTAGTGCGCAATTATGCAGAGAATCACGTAAGCAAAGGAAGAACAATAAACTTGCATAACTAATTGACTATGCAGGAAATCGCTCGCTTATGCACGGCCACGTGTGGTTGGCCATATCGCCCTGTCGTGATGCTCTGTATTACTGTAATGGGTTGCTTTTGCTTCTTGGAAGATAAGCTTTACGGTTTTCTTGTTTGTTGGGGAATTTTAGGTTCGCGGGGTGATGTGGCCACTGTGCTTTGCATTATGGGCGAGACATATAAGAAAGACGTTAATTTTGTTGTCTTTGTCGGTGGATAAGTAGGGTAGATTCGCGAGACTTTAGTCTTTTGTTGGTTACGTTCCTGGAATTAGATAGTTCATTTATCATTAAAGACGATTATTGCTGGATAGTAACATATTTTAGTGATGGGGATACACGACTCGCAGTCAGCTTCTCTTGTTGGCTGAGCTGATCGCAGTCGACGCTACGGACCGAGCCAGTGCTTAGGTTAGACTTGGCGACGGTGTCCAGACTTAATCTGCATGTTTCGACCTTCACCATGGGCTGGGATATCCAGGCATATCGGAGAGAGCGCATTAGGCTTAGTTGACTAGTTAGTCGAATTAGGTGAAACCTAGTCATGTCCGTGTTGGAAATGGATGTACCCCATCTTCTTGTGTCAATATGTTGGGATGATAATGGCAGAAGACTAGACAGGGTAGTAGTAAGTAAGCGTGTAATTTGAGCACCTGGATTGGTAGGTGTCAGCTGGCTGAAGAGTCATTCCATTGGCTCACATCGAGTGCGCGGACCACCCTGATTATGACGGTGCTGAAGACCTGCATGTATCCCACACCAACCATGCAGCTAGTTTATAGGCCTCGACAGCAATTTTGAGGCTTGTGCCGTCATCCTTTGGACTCATCTGGCAGCGGTTTGCATGTTATGCTCTCATAATCGTTGGTGAAACGCTGGCCAACAGTTGTATACTACTAACAGTGATCAGATCATACTGTCATCGAGTGCCCGTGCTACTAGGACGATGCTCGAATGGCAGCAGCAACGCCAAGTGGTGAGGGGTCATTCAACTTGCAGGGATATGCACGAATAATGCAAGCTGAGCCGTCGGCTCCCTCACCACGGCGTCGTACTAGTGCACCGACCGGGTCGTCGACGACTCTCACCCCGCTTCATTAATATAAAGCAGACATGCCAGGGTTGATTAATGCCTGCCTATATACCCCAGTCGCAACTTCAGTTCTTGCAAGCCACATCGACCTGACCATGGTGTCCACGACGCTGACTGCCGCTCTGGCGGGCGTATTTTCGCATCTTACGTATTTCCGGCGAGGCGAGCATCAACTCCACGGCACGACCTATACGCAGGTTTTCGTTGTCCTGTACGCCACTGCGGTCGCTTACCTGCATGTCTCATGGGGAACCGCATGGCGAGAGGCCCTGGTCACCGTCTCCCTGCATGCAGCATCCTACCTTCTTGGCACATTCAGCAGTCTACTGCTCTATCGTCTGGTGTTTCACCCATTGGGATCGTTCCCAGGTCCATGGCTCGCCCGCGTTTCGGATCTGTGGCTCGTTTCGCAGATGAAGAACAACAATAAACATGTCAAACTGGTTGAACTGCACGAGAGGTACGGGCCCTACGTCCGTATTGGACCCTCGACTCTATCTGTCATCGATCCCAAGGCTGTCAACATCATTCATGGCCCAGCTTCGCGCTGCTTGAAGAGCGGCTGGTACGACCACTCATACCCCAACAAGTCATTGCAGACAAGTCGAGACCCGGCCGAGCACCAGCAGCGCCGGAGATTATGGAGTACCGCGTTCGGCAGCAAGCAGCTGCGCGGATATGAGCATCGCGTGCGCAAGTACCGTGAGCAGCTCGTAGATCAGTTGATGAAAAGGGAGGGTCAGCCAGTGAATGTGACCAAGTGGTTCGACCTATACACCTATGACGTGATGGGAGACCTGGCATTCGGGGAGGGTTTTGGTTGTCTCGAGCAAGGCGAGTATCATTGGGCCACACAAATCATGATGGAGACAATGGACTTTGTTGGCAGCTCCTTACCCATGTGGCTCTTCCGTATGGTCTTGGAGGTTCCTGGACTGAAGAGGGCATGGTATAAGTTCCTGGATTACTGTGAGATGAGGTTGGTGGAGAGAATGAGGGTGAGCTGTCATCACACTTGCGTCGCTAGCACCGAGCTGACCAAACAGAATGAGCCTGATGTTCCCGACGTCAGCGCAGCGCTTCTAGCACCCTTCAAAGGCAAAGAGCCCGGGAAGGAAGACCAACAGTGGCTAGGAGGAGATTCACGGCTGATTATTGTTGCTGGAAGGTGAGTGCTCCCGTGGAACTAATTACAGATGCCTGTCTCACGCGGATAGTGACACCACTGCCTCGACTCTTGTTGCTTTGTTCTATGAGCTCGCCCACCGTCCCGAAGAGGTCGAGAAGCTTCGTGCCGAATTGGCTCCATTTGTAAATAAGGGTGGCGGCCTTGGAGACTTCTACGACAGCGACATTGGTCACTTGGGACACCTCAACGGGGCCATCAACGAAGCATTGCGTCTATATCCGGCGGTTCCGTCGGGAGTACCACGGATAATGCCTTCTGAGGGCATCACTGTGAACGGAGTGTCCATTCCAGGCAACACCATAGTTATCAATCCAACCCTTGCTATGGGACGGTGTAAGTCAACTCCGGTGGGCGGAGCGGCGATAAAACTACTGGACTAACGACGGGCCAGCGGAATTGAGCTATAAAAAGCCGCTAGAGTTTATCCCCGAGCGGTGGTACCAGCAGCCCGAGCTGATCAACGATCAGTCGGCTTTTGTCCCATTCAATATTGGTATGTGTTCTGCCTGGAGTAGAGGAAGCCAGGTCATGATTGTTAACTGACGGTGGATGATTGTGTTTAGGTACTTACAACTGCATTGGCAAGCCATTGGCACTTCAGAATCTGCGGGCAACGGTGGCGCATCTGGTCACGACTTTTGATGTGAAGTTCGCGCCAGGAAATGCGGAGAAAGATTTGATCAGACGGTCGAAGGATTGTTTTGTCTTGTATCATGGTGAACTTGACTTGATCTTCACACGGCGAAAGTAGCTAAGGACGGTGGTGAGCGACCGCCGTTGATGAGAGTGTCGATCGCACGGGGGGAATTATTACGTCGGTGGTGTTGGGCAGAAGGATCAAGGGTGTTTCAGCTCCACCCGTGTTTCAGAATGCGATGGCAATACGGCAGAGACGAGGCAGTCAGCAAGAAGCCTAAGTACGTAACTAGTGAAGTGAAGAATAACATGAATTATCTTTGGATGATCGAGTCAGGGATGGTCGATCTTGCTGCCTGGCTGTGCTGTCACTCAACTACTTACAGTAGACGGTGGGCACTTCGACTTGCGCATGATGCGCCTCCAATGAGGCAAGGGCGAGAGTTGCCAGGCACCGATCCGCTCGATCAAGCTTTCGGGAACGGCGGAACCGCGTTGGCCAGTAGACCCGTCGAGACCAGGTGAGGAGCCCACCTGGTAGGCAGAACAATGACTGGTAGCGAAGACTGGGCACAGACATGAGGATGAAAAGATATATCCGGTAAACCAAACACAGTGTAGTATGGTGTAGAAACGTGGAAAGGAAGGTATGCTGCCTGGTCGCGAGAAGCGAGAAGTGAGAAGCGAGAAGAGAGAAGAGCGAGTCACGACGCGGGTGCTTTCATTCTTCCCTCCCTCTCTCGTGATCGGCGTATCGGCGTATCTGTCGAACAATGCGAATCTTACCGACCACATCCTGGCACTCACCACCAATTCCTTAGTCATTGGTGGTTTCTGGTGTTTTTGCTCTTTCATCATCAGACCCACTCCTGTCCCATCATCTGCCAATCATATATTCTCCAGGTACACCCGCAGCCAATGGGGCTACTCTGCCAGGCTTTTGGGAAGATGCTGGCGTAATTCCAC